ATGACCGCAGGCAACAATATTTGACTTTTGTCAGACAGGAAAGGGTGCTGTAGGATTACTACACAGGCGTTATTATTGTGGATTTTAGATTTAGCAGTTTTATTTTAGCGCTTTTTTTTTTTAAAGCAAGACGGTGAGAGACGCTTATGAATGTATTAAAACCAGGGCTTCACATTACCACCCGCATGAACATGATTATGATCAATTATAGATGTTTCCCAGTTCAGTAGATCTCTTTTTCCACGGTTTAAATGTGTTTCTGCAGTATTTAAGGGAAAAAGCAACTGCCAAGTGCACATTAAACCACACAAAAGGATCTCATGTTCTTTTAAAAGGCCATATATCATGGAAAACACTATTTTTCTTGCCCTTTAAAAACAAAAAAAAAGATATTGATGCACCGTGTATGCACAAGAGCAGGTCCAAAATCCAAATTGGCAGCATTTAAGAGGCACTGCAGTCGGTTCCAAACGGCAGGGAGCAACCTTATGCTGAACTAGATTCAGTCCAAATTTGAATGCAATACTGTATGGATCCTTCACAGATGATGTAACCGCAGGACGCGTGGTGCTGAAAACATTATTTATGATGGATGACTCAACATTTGATTGAATCCTGAAAGTATTTGCTTTAATCAATTTATGTAAACACACAGATGACAAAGTTCATTGGAATCAATGAGTCGAGTCAAAGTCCACTCACCATTAATGAATTATTAAATATTAAATGTCTTCTGGCTGGCATTTTGTAGCGTTAAAATAACGCAAAGTTGGTTCAGCAAAAGTGATGAACATGATATTTTCTGGGAAAGAAATTTCAAGGGAAAAAAAAATTATAATATATATATATATATATATATATATATATATATATATATATATATATATATATATATATATATATATATATATATATATATATATATATATATATATATATATATATATATATATATATATATATATATATATATATATATATATATATATATATATATATATATATATATATATATATATATATATATATATATATATATATATATATATATATATATATATATATATATATATATATATATATATATATATATATATATATATATATATATATATATATATATATATATATATATATATATATATATATATATATATATATATATATATATATATATATATATATATATATATATATATATATATATATATATATATATATATATATATATATATATATATATATATATATATATATATATATATATATATATATATATATATATATATATATATATATATATATATATATATATATATATATATATATATATATATATATATATATATATATATATATATATATATATATATATATATATATATATATATATATATATATATATATATATATATATATATATATATATATATATATATATATATATATATATATATATATATATATATA